GGCATTCGAACCATGGGAAACACTCCCGACCCTTAGTACACGTTAAATCCGCTGGGAACGCCACGAGAGTGCCATGGTTTGCGTCAACTTTGAGTCGGACAGTGTGCGGTGGCCTCCCGATCGATCGGGAGCGGGTCGTATAGTGTGTAATAACTCAGCCCCCCCCCCTGCATGGTCGCTTCATTCTCTCAATTGGCCCCCCCACTTTGAAAACCGTGGCACCGCCCCTGTATACAAAGTAAGATTAAATTAAATCTATGCTATTATTAACCGATTATCCGATTATAATCGATTATCGATCGGTTAAGGGAAACCGATAATCGATTATGAAATTCCACCCTATTCCCATCACTAATATTATTTCCATGGTGCTTACACACAGAATTATCTCTCTATAATGTATAAATGCATTAGTTGTAAATATTTAGTGCATAGAGGTTGTGATAGCATGTTATTTTCAATTTTTATTGGGTCCCCTCTACAGATTATGGCCGTATAGTGCTTAAGTTCAACTTTAGGAGTCTTTAACTCTTATTGTATTTCTGTTTGCAAAACTCACTACGTTACACGTCATTTTGTAATATTCCTACGTTGTTCCATTGACGCTCGCAACTACAGTAAAACTCGCATATGTCGTCATCGTTTAACTCGTCAATTCGCGTAAGTCGACATGGAAGTCAAAGTCCCGATTTCCTCTCATAATAAATCCATTGGAATAGCCCCGCCTAAGTCGTCATTTACAAGCCGTCATTATGTACAAGTCGGCACTCTCAGACAGGTCCCATGTAATACAAACAACAGTAATTTGCTATCTGTAAGTCGTTGCTGTAAGATCGCGCAATAACGGGGCCGCACTATATATATATATAGATATATCACTAAAAAGCAGAGATGCAACCGAGAGATCATATTAATTATTCATGTAGATATGAAGCCTGGCGAAATATCAGCTTGACACTCTCCAAGTCGTCGAAATGATGGTTTTGTAAATCGCCAAAATGACGATATACACGCATAAGTCGTCATTTTGGCGACTTACATATAAAGCGACAAAATGACAACTTGCCCGTAATTCTTCGTCTTTTTCGTAAGTCGACACAAAAATGCTGGTTGGGGGCACAGAGGTGGTAGGCATTTGGATTTGTGCTCTCGCTTGCAGCATGAAGCCAAGAGAAAGCACAAGGACGGAGACGCCGCGAGAAACCGACCGGATGCTAATGAGAAGAACCAACCAAGCATCGAGGATGCTGCCGTAGCCGATGACGACGATGATGATGATGATGATGTTGATGATGTTGATGATGTTGATGATGATGTCAGCAAGACAAGTAAGGGAGTATTACGTTTTGAAATTTTACGTATTGTATTTAGAGAGGAGTATTACATTTACTATTGTTGTAGCTACTAATGCTAGCCGCACACTATCCGATTTTGCACTGTGCACGGCACTAAGCCCCCGGGGCGCGAAGCGCCCGAGCGAGGGAGCCAGGCGACCGAGCGGGGGTGGGTGTGGGAGGGGGATCCCCCTCCCACGGCAGGGAGCTTTTTCAATTTTGCACTGAAATGGAGCGATCTGGTGCACATCGAAGGTGAAAATTTCAAATTTTTAAATGAAAGAAAAACGGAAATAACACCTTTTCAGTACATGTCTATGTACATGTCAACTATAGTGAAGTATATATAATTTGCATCAATATGAATACATGTAATAGGAATAAACCCTGAAAAAGATTCACTATTTCATATTCTGTACGTTTTTTGACTATTACCAGGTTGAAGAAAATGGAAATTTCTAACATTGCTGAATGATATTTAAACACTTATAACATCACTCGACTAGCTTTTATCTTTAGTTTATCTTCATGTTGCTGACAACAGTTTTGCCTTTAAAAACCCAAGTTGCTAGGATATTACATAAAGAATACATAAACTATTTATTAATTAAAAAGACTTAAGAACTAAAGTGCAAACTAT